TGGGAGACTCTCTATCTCTTCATCACTGCCTGTCCTAAAGTCACAGGTGAAAGCCATTCAAGAAACCGTCTGTTTCCATTTGCATTCTCCCAGAACAATCCCCTCCCCCAAGGCTTCCTGCTTCCAAAAACTGTTGTCCATTTCTTGTTGCTGTTGCTTTTTTTTTTTTTGTAAGAAAACACACTTCCTTTCTGGCATTCTGTACAATGCGGAAAGACCTCCCAGTAGCGTTGGCCTTGGGCAGGGATAGGCATCCTTGGCTCTTTTATGACTTGTGGACTTCAACTCCCAGAATTCCTGAGCCAGCATGGCTCAGGTTGGAAACCTCTCCCTTTTCCCTTACCGTGGCTGACTCAGGAATTCTGGGAGTTGAAGTCCACAAGTCATAAAAGAGCCAAGGTTGCCTACCCATGGCCTTGGGGATGATGGAGAAGGTGCTCTGGTTGCTTACTCAGATGTTATACATAAGAAAACCAATCAGGATTGTTGGTCCTCGGCACAATTTGCAGTTTTTACATGTGTGGTCCAAGATGCCTGGACTCCTGCTTCAAAAGCCATCTTGAAACCTGCACCTGCTTTGCTATCATTTGCCCTAATGACCTTAAATGAACTTATCCCTGCTTTATCTGCAAGTTGATTTAAGATTAAGGTGATAGTCCAACCACATGGCCCATTTATATTGCCTGGTGCTGAAATTTGATCATGTTTTTATTCTATATGCAATTCTAAAAGCTTTTTAGAAGACATAAATAATTAACCAAAAAGGGTTTGGGGACTGTTGCACTAGAAGTAAAATTGATTGTTAAGAATTAAAGCCAAGCATAATCAGAAATGAAATTGTGAATCGCTGTAGAATAATTGGGACAAACCCGTGATAGTAGCAACCTCAGAGCATCTTTAACACAGAAGGTGACTTCTAGTTATTATTATTGGGTGGCATCTTCCATTCAAAGCCATCTTTCCATCTTTCATTCAAAGCCCGCTGAGTTTAGGAAAATTGGAGGTCAACACGCCAGTGAGAGACACTGGTGCCACAATGGTTTCTTCCTTAAGACAGATGACATCCATCCATTTCAACCTTCTGCTTTCCAAATTTGTCAGATTTTTTTTTACAGAAACTACAATCCAGCAAGAAAGAATTAATCTGTCCTATTTGTTTTGGTATTTATCATCCATTCACAACACAGAAATATCCAGCATATTTAGAAATGACATTTCTAAATTTTGTTTGATCAATGTGTTGTAGTGGGTTTTGGGTTTGAGGATGGATTGATGGATGAATAGATGATGGTTGGATGGAGAGAGAGAGAGAGAGAGAGAGAGAGAGAGAGAGAGAGAGAGAGGCAGTATGTCATCTATGTATAGAATAGTCCACTTACTTTATCCCTTGCTTGCATAATTTTATATAATTTTCCTTTCTTCTTTTATTATCTTTTGAATGGGATGGGATGGGATGGGGTGGGGTGGGGTGGGGTGGAATGGAATGGAATGGAATGGAATGGAATAGAATAGAATAGAATAGAATAGAATAGAATAGAATAGAATAGAATAGAATAGAATAGAGCTGGAAGTCTTCTAGTCCAATCCCCTGCTCAGGCAGGAAACCCTATACCATTTCAAACAAATGTCTGTCCAGTCTTTTCTTAAAAACATCCAGTGTTGGAGCATTCACAGCTTCTGGAGGCAGGTTGTTCCACTGGTTAATTGTTCTAACTGTCAGGAAATTTCTCCTTAGTTCTAGGTTGCTTCTCTCTTTGATTAGTTTCCATCCTTTGCTTCTTGTCCTGGCTTCAGTTTTACCTGAGTGTATTATATTCTGGCCATCTGCTCTCTAACTATAAATAAAATATTACGGTGGTTGTTAGGGTACAAAACATGGTGTGTCATGCATGCCTTTGTTTATGACATAAGGTGCTCTAGGCCATCTAGGAAAACAAGACAGTCTCGGATTTAAAATAACCCCCCTCTGTTGTTCCATCTACCATTTTCTAAAGAAACAAAAAAATATCTGTATCTATATCTACATCTGTACCTATGCATAGTCATATAAAAATCCAAATAAATCCCGCACAGCAGGATATGGAGATGAAACACTGCAGGGCTATCATGATGGAATGAACAAACCTACAAAGCGAGTTCCTTTAGAGAAAGAGATTGCCCTAAAAACAGCAAACATTTCCTGGATTGAGAGGACAGCTCAGGATTGCTAAGTGACATAATGTGATTTTAACTTTATACCCTTAGATTGCTTGGCCTGTGTCACATAGTCGTCGGGATGAATGCAAGTGGGCCGGAAAAGATGTTTTGGTAAGTAGAAACCTTTATTAAATCTCCCACTTGTCCTTGGTAAGGCGGGTCACTATTTTGTGGTTTTCTTAAAGCTTTGGTTTGCACTAACTGGCTGCCTTTTCCATAAATAACGTCACGTTGGTTCAATCTCAGACACTGGTCAAGCTTCATTTTCTCCCCATGAGCTCCTGTGGGGGGTAGATTTACATGTAATGGAATGAGGGAGTGAGCCTATAATTGTCCCCTTATTTAAGAAGTCTTCGGAGTTTGACCTTGTTCCTGTAACCCAGCGGAGGCCCTCAATCTGCCACTATGGAATAGGCAGGCCTTTGTGAATGCAATGAGAGTCATTAATGTCAAGAAGCTTTGAAGGCCTCAGGGGGTCTTCCTTGACAAGAACACACGGATGCCTTCCTGATGTTAATTTCCTTCTTCCTATTGTGGTTGAAAACAGGGGGGGAAAACATTTATTTTACGCATTCTTTCTCATATCATCACTCTTTCCTCCTCAATCTTTTCAACCCTTCCATTAGATAATACGGGAAATTGTAAGGCTGTTGGGTGAGATTGTAATGCTGGCAGAGGATAGATAAATAAATAAAGAGATGGAATTCGCTGTAATTATACAGAAACTGAACGCATTCTTTTAAGACAAAGGGAAAATCACTGTGTTTGCAATAGCAAAAGGCAGCTTAGAGCTTGTCCCAAGTGAATGTTTAGAGATGGTTTAGTAAAATATTCATAATAGCAGCTGGTAGAAATTTGCGCTCTCTCTCTCTTCTCTCAAGCCATAAGTGAAGTAGAGTCATTAACCAGAATATGGTTCAGAATCGGGACTTCAATATTTAAAATAACAAAGCTGATCTGTATCCACAGAAAGAATTTGCAAATATCCCTTGACTAAAGAAGGAAGAATATCATAAACAATACAGTGTCCTTTTTTAAAAAAGATCATGCTGGGCTAACTTCTAAAGAATGAGTCTTATACTTAAACCAAGCCAATTGCTTTTTCCCTAGAACAAGCAAGAGCTGTAAGGTCAAGTTTTAAGAATAGAGAAAATGAATTCTTCATTTTTGCACCCCCCCCAAGGAAAAACTAAAAAGTATTATTCAGTAGGCTTTCTCTTTCATTACTATCAAGGAGAAAATGGGAAATATGGCCTAAAGAACATTTAAATCAATATAATGAAGATATTCTTATGATGATAAGTATTTTACATGTTTGAATGCCTAGAAGTTAATAAATCACAAATGTTTTGGGGGGGTTAACAATTTTTTTTAAAAAAACAAATTTTATTGGTTTTTTTAATTTTTACATCAAGGTGCTTAGGAAACAACGTGGTGATGGGGACATCAATCATCCAAAAGCAAAATCATACATATATAACTCAGGTTAATTCATTAAAAGTTCCCTCTCTATTTCCCTCATATAATATTACATATTCAAATTAATACATTTCTAAATAGAGTTCAATCAATCAAATCAGTCATCAATCACATTTCAGTTATAAATTTTTATTTTATTTTAAATGAAGTAATTGTGAATCTCAATTTTTAACAGTTCTGTGCTGAAACAACTTTCTCTGCAATAGCCCGTTGCAGCAGCTATATTGCTTATATGAAATAAATATTAACTGTAACAACATATGTAGTTTCTATGAATCCCACTGGTGACCTCAATCGTGACCTGAGATTAAAAGGTCTCTGTGGTAACTAGGCTAGCTAGAAGGCTAAGCTTTTTCTCTGCTGGAGTCCATCTGATGCCTTCTCCGTTAACGTCAGTCACAGAGCGTCATGAAATTGATACCATTGGGGATCTAACATTTCAAGGGTCCCCCCAGACACTGATAAATGTGGAGGCTTCCCAACAGCACAGCTTGGTGGTTTTTTTTTTTTTTTCAAAAAGAAAGTTAACAGTTGGGAGGTAATAAAATTGTGGATGGGCTACCCCATTTCTCATATTTCTTTAATGCAACCGCTCTCCTCTGTGGGAAAATCATTGAACCAAATCAGTCCAAGAGAAATAAATATTTCTGGCCATGCAGAAGAGCACCCAAATCCTTCCAAAGGGCTGATGTGGGACTGGCACTGGAGAAACCTGGATCCTGGTCACCCATCAACCAGGGCAGACCCATGAGTGATCTTTGGTCAATTCCTCTCTCTAAGCCCATGCTAGTCTTTTCAACCCTTCCATTAGATAATAGGTAGGCAAAATAACCAGCAAACATACATAATACCTCCTATTTTCTCCATACTAACAGCCTTGTGAGTTGACTGCAACAGAATATCTATACATGAATTAATGTTGGGAAAATCATGTACTCATGACATCCAAAAGGCCCAGGTCTCAACTCGTAAGATCCTTTCTTATTTATAAAGACGTGGCTGACTTCTGGCTGCATCCATAGTGCTTAATAGCTTTTTTTCCTCTCTGCTTTGTGTGTTTGTGTGAGTGTGCATGTGCCTGTGCGCACACACTGTAAACGTTATAATTGGCCATTCAGAAATGAAAAATTTGGGGTGATTTGGCACTGATCAACATGCATCATGCATACAAAAGCTGTTTTGTGTATATTTATATTCTGCCTTCCAATTTAATAGTCCTCAGAGTTGGTCATAATTCATAATTCATCATACACATAGACACACACACACACACACACACATTACAAAGCTGCAGCCCCTGGGCCCCTGCTTTCTTGTGCTTTCTTGAAAGGAAAACAATCCCAGTTTCCTTCTTTCACCAAGAATTAGAAGCCAGATGATCTTAATGCTTTTCCTTGGGGGTAGGTAATTGGTTTGTGGGTAAAGCCAAGATATTTACCTTTGTTGTCACAGTCTTTGTTTCAGATTTTTGCAAACCCTGCTCCCAAAATAAACCAAGTCCAAATAATTCAGACGTAGCACCCTCCCTTCAATCCACTGTAAATTAAGAATCTTTCATCTCTGAATCCATGTTTGCACTTGGTTGCCCAAATCCTCATGTTTAACTAATGTTTTCCCAGATATGTGGGACAGAAATTTGGATATAAGATAACTGGATTCCTTTACGGAACATTTATAAATATCACTTTATAACAATTGTTTACAATATCGATTAGGGCTCTTCAGATGATGAATGCTCTGAATCAGATCCAAAGCTTCAAATGGATTTAGGAAATCAAATTGATGGATTGATTCAGTTCATCAAGTTGACTGCGTCCCAATTGGCTGGGAGTGACGGAAATTTGATGCTTTTCATAAACAGAGTTGGGCTTGACCCAACTAATATATATAGACGTCTTTGTATTAAAGTCTTGAAGTCTTTTTAAAAAAATAATAAAGTGACTGCTGAAATCCATTATTGCTTGACAAATACACATGTACTGCTTCATTTCTAAGTTTGTCAGTGGAAGGCCCTTGTCTGATGTGATGTGAGGGAAATGATTATAATTGTTCTTTCCATTAAGTCAGCCCTGGTTTAGTGCCAGCCTTCTTAATCTCTAAAATGTGCTAAGCTCAGAATGTCATGAGAATATCCCAATACCAGCATGAGAAACTACATTCTTCTATTCCATCTTAAATAATAAGAGTCGTCATAAAATTCAGCTTTTTTAAGGGCTAGGAAGAGAAAAACAGAGAAAATATAAGATACGGTCAACCATACATGCTTCATCCTGGGAAGAATCACTACCGCTAAGTGACCCGCTCAGGATTTCTCTCCAGAACAATTATAATAGGTTAAATTGTCCAAACTGTAACTAGGAGGTTTAGCTTTGCTGTTCAAGAAAATTAACTGTTACAAAACGTAACAGGAGGCTCATACAGGTTGCAAAGAAGTTGAGAAAGATACAAGGGGCTGTGTAAGAGAGTAAGGACTACTTGTGCCGTATACGATGGCAGGCACTATAACTATACAAGGGCTGTGCAAATTATCTAAGACCCAATTCCAGTTTGTGATTTGGTTTAAGTATAAAGTAAGTATTATCTGTGCACCAATTGTACAAAAATCCATTGGGCCTTTAAATTTTTGAAAGGAACACCTTTCAATTCAGGATATCAAACTGATTCAAGGAATTCACTCAAATCATCTTAGCATTGAACCTTTGTAAAGTCATAGCATCCCCTAATCTCATGTCAACCTCTACCACAAAACGTATTTGTGGGGATAACTCTCCTTCACGAGACACCTTCCTCTTGGATCCTTGTTGCTTGAGAAGATCTAAGCACACATGGATCTAAGCACACATGGCAAGGGTGGATGAGATCCTTTGTTTGATGGTCACATGGACCAAAGGGAATGTGCCCTACTATATCCTTTTTGCTGAGTAGATGGGTAAGGTAGCACTCACAAGTGTAAAATTACTTGTGCAACACAAAGCCTGGGCTACAGGACCCTGCTTCATGGATGCTCCAGGGATGACATGGTGTCCAGCACTTTGATGGTCTTTATTGGTCTTATGCTCATGTGTTCTCTTGGGCAGAAGAAGGCTTCCAGTTGTCCTTCTAGTGAGATAAGAAGCTAATGCTTTTATTTATTTCATTCAGCATGTTTCACATGCAGGGCACTGCCTCAAATCCAATTGTTCCTGATGCGAATGTGATGCAGATCTCCAAAGCGAGAGCTATAATTTTATACACAATTAGAGCATAAGCACGTGTCTACTCAGAAGTAAATCCCATTGATTTTGCAAAGGTTACTCCACATAATAATAATAATAATAATAATAATAATAATAATAATAATAATAATAATAATAATAAAGTTGGAAGGGACCTTGGAGGTCATCTAGTCCAACCCCCTGCTCAGGCAGGAAACCCTATACCATTTCAGAAAAATGGCTGTCCAGTCTCTTCTTAAAAACGTCCAGTGTTGGAGCATTCACCACTTCTGGAGGCAGGTTGTTCCATTGGTTAATTGTTCTAACTGTCAGGAAGTTTCTCCTTAGTTCTAGGTTGCTTCTCTCCTTGCTTAGTTTCCACCCATTGCTTCTTGTCCTGCCTTCAGGCACCTTGGAAAATAGCTTGACTCCCACTTA